GCAGCAGGCTCAGCCATCGGATCGACGAGGGAAAGAGAGGCGAAAGAAGAAGAAAGGCCGGGAAGCCAAGAGGGAGCGTTCAAAATGATGTTAGAGTCCGAAGGGGACTCAACGGCAAAAGAAGAAGTGAGCTCGAAGTGAGCTCAGGGAAGGCAAGGGTAAAGTCCGAAGTGGACTCGGAGAGGGAGCGAGGGAAGCAAAGATCCGTTCAAGATAAGACTAGTCTCGAAATGAGACGTGAGGAACACTCAGAGAATAAAGTAGAAGGCACTTTATTTAGTCCTATTTTGAACGCTGAGGTTCGACTACACATCGCGGGGGTCAGGCTATTTATAGACAAGTCCGGACTTGGCAGCGAAGGGCGGCCAAGGGAGGGAAAAGTGGGCGATCGAGCAGGGCGAAGGGGGCGATGCACGAACGAGGGCCGAGAAGGACCACCGAGACAGGCAGAGAACCAAAGCGAGGGAGGCGCAAGCAAAAGCGAAGCACCTGGCAGGAGAAACGTGCAAAGGCGAAGCAATGTGACTCAACGTCCAAGAAGCGGATTGGTCAAGTATAAGGTTGGGGCAAATGCATGCGAGATGAACAAGAGATCGGGGCGGTCAGGCAGGTCATGAGTCACCGGTGGTGGGACACATGACCGGCAGCCGAATTGCAACCAATCGCAGCAAGGCGCGTGCACAAACAAACCGGCGCGTGCGAAGAAGACAAAGGAAGCGGAGCAGCGCGGGGAAACGGAAGTGCGGAAGGAGCGGAAATGGCAGGCAAAAGGCGGAAAATTGGAGGGGAACTGCAAAGCTACACACAAACAAACAGAAAGGCAAAAGAACAGCCAAGTGTGCAGTCAAAGTGGAGAACAAGCAGAAGCTATCCCTAACACTTGTTCGGCTTCTGGGGTCCACTGGAAGCTGGTGGTCTTCTTGGTGAGGTCGGACATGGGCTTGGCGTGCTCGGAGTAGTGCTCGATAAACTTGCGGTAGAAGTTGCAGAAACCCAGGAAGCTTTGTACACCCTTGAGGGATGTTGGGGACTTCCACTCCATGATGGTTTGAACCTTGTCGGGCGCCATGGCGACGCCCTTGGTCGACACTATGAAACCCAGGAACTCGATTGAGTGCTTGTGGAACTCGCACTTCTCGAGCTTGGCATACAGCTTGTTGTCCCTGAGGCGCTGCAGGACTGTCCTGACATGGGCGGTGTGGGACTCCGGATCGGGTGAGAATACTAAAATGTCATCAAGGTACACTACCACGAACTGGTCTAGAACGTCTCGGAAGATGTCGTTCATCATCGATTGGAAGATTGCGGGAGCATTGGTAAGCCCAAAGGGCATTACCAAGTACTCGAAGTGACCGAACTTACAGCGGAACGCAGTCTTCCACTGGTCACTCGGCTTCATCCTGACCAAGTTGTACGCGCCCCTCAGATCAATTTTCGAAAAGATCTTGGCGCTGCCCAGTCGGTCCATGAGCTCCGAGATGAGTGGGAGCGGGTACCTGTTCTTCACGGTCATTTCGTTGAGGTCGCGGTAGTCAACACAAGGCCTCAAACCACCGTCCTTCTTCTTCACAAAGAAGATGGGTGCGCCGGCGGGGGATTTCGAGGGCTGTATAAAGCCCTTGGCCAGCATGTCGTTGATGTAGTCCTCTAGCGCCTTGGACTCGGATGGGGACAGGTTGTACAGCTGCTTGAAAGGTGGCGCAGCGCCTTCATCCTTCAATGGGATGTCGCAGTCGAAGCGGCGCTGAGCGGGCAGCAACTCCGCTTCGATTTTCGAGAAGACATCTGCGAAGTCATGGTAGGTGCTCGGAAGCATCTCAGGTATCTCCTCGCTCGGGGTAGTGCCCGTGGGAATCGAAGGCGTGCCCAATCCCATGGGGTTTCCATCTACTGACGCGTCGCGCACCGAGTTGACCCCGTGGGAAACTATGGAACCAAGCTGCCAATCCACGGCAGGGTTACACTCCTGAAGCCATGGGAAACCCAAAATAATGGCAAAGTGGGGGGAGTTACAAGGGAAAATATCAAAGACCATAGCGTGGGAACGGGGGAGAGGATGGACGTCAAGATCACAGGGGTACGTCTCGTCTGTGATCAGTTGGGTAGAGGAATTGTCTGCGAGGTAGACTCTAAGGGGCTTTGGTTTCTTTCTAATAGGAATGTGGCGATGCTGAACAAGGTTGGAATCGAGGAGGTTACACGAAGAGCCCGAGTCAATAAGGGCGTTACACAAGATTGTGCTACCATGCAAGTGAAGTGTAACAGGGACAATGAGGCTCCTTGGAGCCTTTCGAGAAGTAACAGTTGCATTAAAGAGAGTGGGGGCCGCAGAGGTATCGTCCAGGGTTAGGCCCCTTACTGTGCCTGGACGCTGAAGTTTGGGTGGCTCTTGTTGGGGCAGGTCTTGGCATGGTGACCCGGTTCACCACAGTAGAGGCAGAGGTTCTCTTTTAATCTCCTCTCCTTCTCCTCACGCGAGAGTGGGCCCTTGGGTAGGGTGTGAACGGCATCCACCTGCATGGGCTCATAGCGCGTATCATGGAGGGTGACAGGTGGCCGCCCGTGTGGTCTGGGTCCGTGCCCACCTGCCGCCTTCTCCATGCGCCGAGAGAACTGTCTATTATCAAGCTGGATACACAGGATCATGAAGCGATCCAACTGCTGCGGAAACATCGAGGGTCTGGGCCAGTGCATCCTTGATGGGATCACTGAGCCCATCGTAGAAGTGCTGGTAGAGGGCTTCCTCGTTGTAGCCCGACTCGAGGGCGAGCTGCTTGAAGCGCGTCGTGTACGCGACACAAGGTTGCCTGCCTTGGTTCAGGGTCTTGAGCTTGGACCTTGCACTCCAGACGGAGTGGGGATCCCCGAAGGTGTTATTCAGTTGAAGCCAGAAATCTTGGAGGGTCACCGGCACGTCTTCAAGGGTCCGGAACCACGATAGAGCTTGGTCCGAGAGGAGCGTTCCCGTGTAGAGGATCTTGACGCGCTCGTCCGGGAAACGCGTGGGTTGAAGCGCGATGACGTTGTTGACGTTCGCGATAAAGTTCTTGATGTCCTTGGCGGCACCAGAGAATTTGTCCGGGCAGGGGACCTTGGGCTCTCTGAAGACCACGTTGTGCTCCTGGGGCGGGGGAAGCTGAGGCACTTGGACTTGTTGAAGCATCTGGAATTGGTGATGCTGGTGCTGCAGTTGGCGTTGAAGCTCAAGGATAGTCTCTTGCTGCTGCTGGTTCTGAGTAGTCAGAGCAGCCAGCTGTTCAAGGACGGCCTGGATGGGGTCAGCCATGGTAGTAGGACAAGGCAAGGGGGGTGGAGTGAATTATGATGTCAGGAACGAGGCGTGGGAAACAGGTGTCAGCAGACCGAGTGGGTTCTTGACGGTGCAGACAAGGCGTGGGAATCGGAACGAGGGCAAGAACGAGGAGCAGGGCAGGGAGCAAGGGCAAGGTACGAGAGAGTGATGATCTTATATTCAGAAAGGTGATAAGATAATTCACTGGGTGTGATTTCCTTCTGGCCCCTGAGCTCCTCTATTTATACCTCGACCATCTAATCTATCATGTCATCGAGCTCAGCCACAGGATAAGCCACTCTGTGATCAAATAAAGTAAATGAATGAACTAATCTAATGCATGGTGCAGGAAGGTTCTAGACCGTCGCCAGTCCCGGATGCTCATGAGTGCCATGACAATGCGCTGCGCCACAACGCCAATCATGGTACGCGTTCATAACAAACCGGGAGCAAGGTCGAGACTGCGACGGGGCAAGGTACTGAAGAGTGATGATCTTGTATTAAGAAGAATAAGGAGATTATTCACTGGAGGTGGTGTATCGTCTGCTCGGCTATCCCTCTATTTATAGTTTCTCTAGTCTATGTTGTCTCCGGATTCCCGCCAAACTCTACGCCACATCTGTGATCAGATTCGAGTAATTAAAAGATAATATGAAAGTAGCTACGAAATTCTTCCCACGCCCCTGCTTCCCTCCACCCGATGATCTTGCGCCATGAAACTACTGCGCACGGATCACCACGCCGTGATCCAGTGGCCGTGTCCTAACACCGAGGATGACGGGCTGGTGCGGCGACTTGATGACGTCGAACTTGAGTCGCTGAGAGCTGTCCCCAAGGAGGAGCTGGAGGGAGACAGTCTCTTGTGTGATGGGGCCAGAGGACAAGGGCCGGCCATCAACGGCCTCGACAGCCAAGGGAGTGGACTTGGCGACAGTCGGAACAGAGAAACGGAAAACAAAGTCCTGGTCGACAAAGTTGCCGGCTGTTAGAGTCCGAGGGGGACTCAACGGCAAAAGAAGAAGTGAGCTCGAAGTGAGCTCAGGGAAGGCAAGGGTAAAGTCCGAAGTGGACTCGGAGAGGGAGCGAGGGAAGCAAAGATCCGTTCAAGATAAGACTTGTCTCGAAATGAGACGTGAGGAACACTCAGAGAATAAAGTAGAAGGCACTTTATTTAGTCCTATTTTGAACGCTGAGGTTCGACTACACATCGCGGGGGTCAGGCTATTTATAGACAAGTCCGGACTTGGCAGCGAAGGGCGGCCAAGGGAGGGAAAAGTGGGCGATCGAGCAGGGTGAAGGGGGCGATGCACGAACGAGGGCCGAGAAGGACCACCGAGACAGGCAGAGAACCAAAGCGAGAGAGGCGCAAGCAAAAGCGAAGCACCTGGCAGGAGAAACGTGCAAAGGCGAAGCAATGTGACTCAACGTCCAAGAAGCGGATTGGTCAAGTATAAGGTTGGGGCAAATGCATGCGAGATGAACAAGAGATCGGGGCGGTCAGGCAGGTCATGAGTCAGCGGTGGGGGGACACATGACCGGCAGCCGAATTGCAACCAATCGCAGCAAGGCGCGTGCACAAACAAACCGGCGCGTGCGAAGAAGACAAGGGAAGTGGAGCAGCGAGGGACAATGGAAGAGCGGAATGGGCGGAAAAGACAGGCAAAGGGCGGAAAATCGGAGGGGAACTGCAGAGCTACAACAAATCAAACAGGAAGGCAAAGGAACAGCCAAGTGGGCAGTCAAAGTGGAGAACAAGCAGGAGCTATCCCTAACACCAGGTCGTCAAAAAGATGGATGCTTGTTTGTATTCTTGAGGAGTTGTCACCTTCCTCCAGCATGCGAGTGCTTCACGGTCGTTCTGCTGGACACCCTTACCAAGGAAGTACATCCATCCTAGAACGAATCGACGCTCGTCTTGACTGCATTGCAGATGCCCTGGTGTTTCGGAGTTGAAGATTTCGAACTCTTCGCTCCATTCCAAATTGGAAAAGTACTCGAAACCATCGAATCTTTGTCGAACGCTTCGTATTTGGGGAGTCTGTGAGTCCGCGGCTGTCAAGAGTGTTAATATGTTTGTCCAGTGACCCATCCAGCATACACACATCAATCGACCCGTTCCATCCGGCGATTGCAGTTGAAGACCTACCTGGCTCCTCGTCCACTCTCCTTGAAAGCATGACTTCGTTTGATTGAACAGAGATAATCTGGCGTTGAGAGTACACATCCGAGATCAAACAGCCTTGGTAACATGAGGAGGGCGGCAGATACGACACCTAGAAGAAATATGAAAATACCCGTTGCAATTGGATTCGTCGAATCTCATAGAACATATCGTTCGGGTTTTCCACCCAGTGCCAACATAAAAAACGTTACCCGTCGATTTAGATCCACCGGTTTGGGGGATACACCTAGATCAAAGGGTTCCACACTTGAAGTAGAACTCGCAGCGGTGATCGTATTGATGATATCTTGAAGGGAAGTCTGGATGTCGTCGAAAGTTGTGCGTAGTTCCGGGCGCTGGTTCCAACATCTTTCGAGTAGCTGCCAAACATCATCCGGTATGGATTGAAGGCGTTGAGGCCGTTCCCCGCGAACGATAGCATTTGACACTGTGTTGGACTTTGGCGGTTTTCCATTCTTACCGAGCCATGCGTTGTCCTCGACCAGGACTTCATACGTGGTGATGGCGAACGCAAAAACATCGCCCTCCTTTGAGGTTTCCACTGGGTCGACGTCGCGGAGTATTTCTGGAGCTGCGTAATCGTACGTCCCGGTGAATCCTTCATACTGTCTGACCGAGACAGCAGTGCTGACCTTGACACGAGCGAGCCCGAAATCCGCAACGACGGCACAGGGTGAGTCGTTGATGAGAATGTTTGTCGGCTGCAAATCTCCATGAATGACGTTCCTTCGGTGCAGATAGCTCATCCCACAGGCGACTTGAAACATGAACCGGAGCTTCTGAACCAGAGGGCACGGCGAGTGATGGCATACGTAGTCCCATATATGCCCGTTCTTCATGCAGGGCGAGACCATGAGCATTCTGTGCATGTCCAGATGCGCACCGAGAAACTGGAGGACGTTGGGGTGGCTCAACTTGTGCCAGATACCGATTTCATACTCCATTTCAGCGAACCTTTGTTGGTGAGACCCATTGAGATATTTGACGGCGACAGGGGCACCATGATAAGTGGCCCTGTAGACGTTTCCGAAACCACCGCTGGCAAAGGGTTTGATTGATCTATCCTTTATGGCATCCGAGGGGATGCTCCAGTCGGAGGGCTCAGACGTCCAGGACATGATGGATGTCGGGGGAGATGTGGGAAAAAGGTGGTTCTGGCAAAAGAAGGCTCACGCTGCGGCTATATCCTTGCTCGACGGAGACTCGGTGGCTGGCAGATCAAGCTGTAAGGACCTCAACTGGTAAACGGCTAACAACAGGAAATGAAGCGAACCCCAAGCCAGACTTGAGATCCACACGCAAGTCCTCACGGCACACAGCAAGAGGCACAAGCGTAATGACTAACCAATGTATTAGAGTGCCAAGTGCACTCCTAACTACAATACAGGAGGTGAGACGAAGATCTAAACCTGTAGGCCGAAGGCGGGTTTATATCTTCGTCTGTGGGGTGGATGAACGAAGGAAGAGAAGAAAAGCGTAGTCGCTGCGGCACGGCGCAGTGATCGTGGCGCAGTGATCGTGGCGCAGTGAGGGACCTGTATGAACCAGGAGGGCTAGGGCCCGGCCGGTTCATGACAGTACCTCCCCCTCTAAGGGCCGAACCCCGAGAGGCCAAGTCAAAACGGCAATCAAGCAAGAAGGAAAATAAACAAGTTGGAAATCAAGCAGAACAGAAATACGAACATCAGAGGTCATGTGCGCATAAAAGAATAACAGAAGAATAGAAGGCAATACTCAAGGCCAGTGTACATAACGTTTGTACTTAGGCGTGAGGGGGGAAAGGACTTGTGAAAAAAATGCAAAAGGTTCGGAGGCGCATCCCCAATAGCTGCCAGTATAACCATGTATACCCTCAGAGACTACTACTATTTTTAAAGCTGACACAACGGTGCCGACCCACTATCGCAAGACCTGGACTAAAGTCCCAAACTAAAGTTCCCGAACGAGCGACTGTAAGGTACGGTGTGTTGTATCAGGCGGAGTCGTAAAGCCATAGGATCGCTACTCCAACGTTATGCTCGCTGACCCTTCTTAGAACACTTCCCCCACGGTTAATGGAAGAAGTGCCCCCACTCAATTACTCACGGGTCAACGCGCCCGCTTGAGCGCTACCCGAGACGTCAACCTGAAGAAACCTCGTACTCCTGACATAGGCAGAGCCTGTAACATCCATCATTCTGGATGCAACCCCTCCAGTAACCGACCCGACCCCCAGGGGCCCTCCTCCAGCCGCCATTGCTGACGACCAAATTTGGACCCCAGGGAGTCGAACTGGCGACCTTTGGGGTGTGCACAGCGGGGGTTAGCCACTGTACTACAGACTCTACCTGGCAGGGCGTGGTCGTGTCGCGTTTTTGTTGTGGTACTCCGCGACCGCGTCACGTGCATGGTCGAAGCCGTCCGCCGGCTCCCATGTGGAGTCCGATGGCGTCCAACCCTTCCAATGCACGAGATACTGCAGCTCACCGCGGTGGATCCGGGAGTCGAGAATGGCTTCGATCTCCCACTCCTCGTGGTCGTCGACTTGGATGGGAGGCAGCGGGACAGGTGGCCTTCCAGGAATCTTGTCGTCTTTAGCGGGCTCGAGGAGGGACACATGGAACACTGGATGGATTTTCATACTTGCGGGCAGTTTCAACTTGTAGGCCCGTGAGCCAATCTTGGCCAGGATCGGGAAGGGGCCGAGCTTGCGATGGTCGAGCTTCCGGGTGGGCCTGGCCGTTTTGATGTTCCTCGACGATAGCCACACTCGGTCGCCGATCTTGAAGTCCGGTCCCGTCGTGCGGTGGGCGTCGTAGTGTCGAGCTTGAGTCTCTTGAGCAAGTTTGATGTTGAAGCCGAGCTCGTCGTGGAGGTCTTGGAGCGACTTGGCGTGGTCTTGGCCGGCGGACAGGGAGCGGGAGGTGCGGGGCAGGACAACGGAGAACCTTGGGTTGTGACCGGTGTAGGCGTAAAACGGCGAGCAGCCCAGGGTAGCTTGCGAGGCATTGTTGTAGGCGAATTCGGCATGAGGGAGCAGGTCGGCCCAGTTGTCCTGTTGATAGTTGACATAGCAGCGCAAGTACTGCTCGAGTGTCGAGTTGGTACGTTCGGTCTGCCCATCCGTCTGCGGATGGAAGGCGGTCGACATCTTCTGTTTGACTCCGAGGCACTCGAATAGGGACTTGAGGAACTTTGAGGCGAAGGTCGGTCCTCGGTCCGAAACGACATCCTCCGGGAGTCCATGTTGAGAGAATACTCGCTCGGCAAACATTCGGGCGGTGTCCTCGGCAGTGGCTTCATTCGTCGTTGGGCAAAAGTGAGCCATCTTGGTGAACCGGTCGACGAACACACAGATGGCCGTATGTCCTGTGGAGGCGGGGAGCTGAGTGATGAAGTCGACAGAGACCGACGACCAGGGGCGATCCGGGACGGGGAGTGGGGCCAGGAGACCGAACTGTTTGTGAGTCGAGGATTTGTTCCGTTGACAAGTGTCGCAGTGTCAAGACTGGACAACGGGGCAAACAGGGAAGTGCGCAAGAGTCCTAATGCAAGACTCGAACGTAGGGAGAGGAGCGGGGACTGGACTGGGACACAGAGTGTCAAGTGTAAAGCCAAAGTTTTATTCTAGATCCAAGGCTTAGGATACTAAAAATACAAAGTGGCAAGACGAAGGCAAAAGACAGAGGCTGGTCGGAGGGCTATTTATGCGAGCGCCAAGGATCGACGCTGCAGAGCGAGGGGGTAGGAGCGAAGCAGCGGCGGGGAGGGCGAAGCAGCGAGCGAAGCAGGTGTTAGGGATAGCTTCTGCTTGTTCTCCACTTTGACTGCACACTTGGCTGTTCTTTTGCCTTTCTGTTTGTTTGTGTGTAGCTTTGTAGTTCCCCTCCGATTTTCCGCCCTTTGCCTGTCTTTTCCGCTCCTTCCGCACTTCCGTTTTCCCGCGCTGCTCCGCTTCCTTTGTCTTCTTCGCACGCGCCGGTTTGTTTGTGCACGCGCCTTGCTGCGATTGGTTGCAATTCGGCTGCCGGTCATGTGTCCCCCCACCGGTGACTCATGACCTGCCTGACCGCCCCGATCTCTTGTTCATCTCGCATGCATTTGCCCCAACCTTATACTTGACCAATCCGCTTCTTGGATGTTGAGTCACATTGCTTCCCTTTCGCATGTTTCTCCTGCCAGGTGCTTCGCTTTTGCTTGCGCCTCTCTCGCTTTGGTTCTCTGCCTGTCTCGGTGGTCCTTCTCGGCCCTCGTTCGTGCATCGCCCCCTTCGCCACGCTCGATCGCCCACTTTTCCCTCCCTTGGCCGCCCTTCGCTGCCAAGTCCGGACTTGTCTATAAATAGCCTGACCCCCGCGATGTGTAGTCGAACCTCAGCGTTCAAAATAGGACTAAATAAAGTGCCTTCTACTTTATTCTCTGAGTGTTCCTCACGTCTCATTTCGAGACAAGTCTTATCTTGAACGGATCTTTGCTTCCCTCGCTCCCTCTCCGAGTCCACTTCGGACTTTACCCTTGCCTTCCCTGAGCTCACTTCGAGCTCACTTCTACTTTTGCCGTTGAGTCCCCTTCGGACTCTAACATCATTTTGAACGCTGCCTCTTGGCTTCCCGGCCTTTCTTCTTCTTTCGCCTCTCTTTCCCTACTCGATCCGATGGCTGAGCCTGCTGCACCCCCTGCAGATCTCAATGCGTATCTGGCGCGCATGGAGGAGCCTATGAACGCCCTCATGACACAGAACGCTGCTCTCCATCGTCAGATCCAAGATCTGCAAGCTCCCGCCGTCGCGCCCCGCCAGGTCTACCAGGTGAACAAGCCCAAGGAGTTCCTCGGTTCCCGCGACGAGACGACGGCCTTCCTGGCCCAATGCCACCTCGTTTTCCTCGCCGATCCCGCCTTCTTCGCGCCCGAGCGCCAGAAGGTCCTTTATGCCACCTCCTTCCTCCGCGGCGAAGCTTTCAAATGGTACGAGGCCGCCTTTTATATGGCCAACCGCTTCCCGGCTTCCTTCGCGGATTTTGAAGTTGCCCTCAAGTCGACCTTCGGTGAGGACACGGCCTCCTCGCAAGATAAGGCCTTGAACGACCTCAAACGCTTGGTCCAGCTCAAGTCCTGCCAAGCCTTCGCCACCCGCTTCGTCCAGCTCGCCGCCCGCGTCCAGACTGACGAACCCACCAAGATGCACTTCTTCAAGGAGGGTTTGAAGTCTGAGGTCAAGTTCCACCTCATCGGTCTCCGCCCCGCTCCCGCTTCCTTGCCCGAGTTGATCAAGGCAGCGGTCGAGTACGACGATGCCCTCCATCGTCTCAAGGTCTCCTCCCGTTCCCAACCTCCTCCTCCTTCTTCTCGCTCTGCTCCCCATCACCACCATTCTCCCGCGCATGTTTCTTCTTCCTCCTCTTCTGCACCCACTCCCATGGACCTTGACTCTGTCTCGGTCCGCCCTGCTAAGCTCTCCGACGTCGAGAAAAAGCGACGTCGTGAGCAGGGTCTCTGCTTGTACTGCGGGGAAAAGTCTTGTCCCGGCAGTCGCGATGTTCAGCAGTGCCCGGTTCTGGTCAAACGGAACTCGGGAAATGCCCACAGCCGAGCAGCACCTCGCAAGTAAGCGAGGTGGTCTGTTCGGCGATACGAACATCTTCCCCCTCTGACTCGTCATTATCGGACGATAAGCTTCTTCTTCCGGCCACTCTTGTCGTCATGAGTCTTTCTGGCCCGGTCTCCATCTCCCTTTCTGTTTTCATTGATGATGGATGTACCGCTCTTGCCCTCATTGATCCTGCCTTTGCCGATCTTCATAAACTCTCTCTTATCCCTCTTTCTACTCCTTACTCCGTTTCCCTTGCTGATGGTTCTTCGGCCGGTTTCATTCGTTTCCAAACCGTGCCTTTGACTTTGACCATTGGTTCCCACACCGAGTCGATTTCGTTTCTTGTGACTCGACTCTCCACCACTCCCATCACTCTTGGTCTTCCCTGGATGCGCTTGCACAATCCAGTTGTCAATTGGAAGTCCCTCTCCCTTTCTTTCTCCGATCCCTCTTGCCTTGCTGATGGACACATCCTCGCGGATGTCTCTGCTTCTTCCTTGGACACTTCGTCCACTTCCGGCACTTCGCCTCCCCCTTCGGGCACTTCGCCTTTGACTCTTCCTCCCTCCGGTCCTTTCATTACACCGGTTCCCTCCTTTGGCACTTCGCCTTCCCTTTCTTCCCGCCTTGACTCTGCTTCGCTTTCTGAAGAGCCAACGGCTTTATCTTCGCCCGACATTGAGCTCGTTAATGCGGCGAGTCTTCTCCGTCTTGCACGGGAAGACAAGCTCGACATTTTCGCTGCCCAAATGGATATCCGTCCTCCTTCGCCGGAGACGTATCCTACGGTGTCGATAAGGTCCGTGCTCACGACGAAGGTGTATGCCGAGTCTGGCACCCCTGTTGACTCTCGAGGTGTCCCACTCAAATACAATGAGTTTGGCGACGTTTTCAGCCTCAAGTCTGACCCTCCTTCTTCCTTGCCTCCTCACCGTCCGTATGACTTGTCTATTGAGTTTGTACGAACCGAGGATGGAAAGGAACCTCGTTTGCCAAAGCCGGGGAAAGTCTATCCTTTGTCCCCGGCCGAGGAATCTGCTCTTTCGGAGTATCTGACCAACGCCCTCGCACGTGGTTGGATCTCCAAATCCTCTTCTCCCGTTGGTGCTCCCTGCTTCTTCGTGAAGAAGCCCAATGGTGGTCTTCGCCTTTGCGTCGACTACCGGGGCCTCAATGCCATCACGAAGAAGAACCGCTACCCTCTTCCCCTCTTCCAGGATCTTCTTGATAAACTTTCCTCTGCCCGCGTCTTCTCACACCTTGACCTTCCTGATGCTTACCACTTGGTTCGTGTCAAGAAGGGCGATGAGTGGAAGACTGCTTTTGTTTGCAAATCTGGCTCATTTGAGTACAATGTTATCCCCTTTGGTCTTTCGAATGCCCCCGCTGCTTTCCAGTTTTTTATGAACGACATCTTCTCGGACCTCCTTGGTGTCTGTGTTGTCATTTATCTTGACGACATCCTGATCTTCTCAAAAGATCCCCAGGAGCATGAGGAGCATGTTAAGCTTGTTTTTTCTCGCCTTCGTGAACACTCCCTTAAGGTCAATCCGGCCAAGTGTTCTTTTGACCTTTCTGAAGTTGATTTTCTCGGCATGATCATTTCTGCCGATGGCATTAAAATGGACCCTGCCAAGGTCGAGGCCGTTTCCCTTTGGCCTGTTCCCTCTTCTGCTCGCGATATCCAAGTTTTTATTGGTTTCGCAAACTTTTATCGCCGCTTCGTCAAGGACTTTTCTGCACTTGCTCGTCCTTTGACTTCCCTCACTACCAAATCCTCCACCTTCTCTTGGTCTCCCGAGGCCCAAGAGGCTTTTGACTCTCTCAAACGTTCCTTCACTTCCGCACCTATTCTTCGATACTTTGATTTCTCCAAACCCGCTGTCATCGAGCCCGATGCTTCTGACTTTGCTTTGGGTGCCGTCCTTTCCCAGTTTGACCCTGACGGCGCTCTTCACCCCGTTGCTTTTCACTCTCGGCAATTCCGTCCCGCCGAGGTGAATTATGACACCCACGACAAAGAGCTCCTTGCCATTGTCGATTCCTTTACTGCCTGGCGTCATTACTTGATGGCTGCCGACC